AATTCCCCTGTTATCGTCGCATATATCAACTATACCCTTGACAATTCTACAGCGATACTGGAAAAGGCAGAGAGATGGGTCGAGCGTCTGTTACGACGGTCATACGGCCAAGCTCAACGCAATAAAAGGATAAAAGTTCTGATAAACCCCTTTGGAGGAAAGGGAAAGGCGGTTAAACAGTACAGCAAAGAGATTGAACCTATATTTGCGGCAGCCCGATGCGAAATCGACGCCGAGCAGACAACGCATCGTGGCCACGCGGTCGAGATTGCTCAAAATTTGGACATTAACGCATTCGACGCCATTGCGAGTGTGTCTGGGGATGGCTTGCCCCATGAATGTATAAACGGCCTCGCAAGGAAACCAAATGCCGCCGAGGCCCTCAGAAAAGTGGCAGTCGTCCAGTTACCCTGTGGTAGTGGAAACGGTATGGCGTGGAATCTGACCGGAACCGGTGAATGCAGCACCGCCGCCCTCTGCATTGTGAAAGGTGTGCGGACTCCTTTGGACCTGGCGAGTATCACACAGGGAAATACCAGGACGCTTTCGTTCTTGTCGCAATCGCTCGGCATAGTGGCAGAAAGTGACCTGGGAACAGAGAACCTTCGATGGATGGGTGACGCAAGATTCTTCTACGGATTTCTCGTCCGACTCCTGGGCAAGACGCTTTACCCTTGTGAGATCGCTGTCAAGACCGAGATCGAGGACAAGGAGGAAATAAAGAGGCACTACGCCCGCTACATGGCTAAAAGAACGACCCAAGCTCCCATCTCTCATGCTGATCTGGATGGGCCGTTGGATATGTCCAAAAGTCTTGGACTCCCCCCACTACAGTATGGGACGGTCAATGATCCTCTGCCCACCGACGCTGGCTGGACCCCTTTGACTCCCTACCCCAATCTGGGCAACTTTTACTGCGGCAACATGACCATAATGACGGCGGATGCCCCATTCTTTCCTGCTTCTCTTCCTTCTGATGGCCTGCTCGATCTAGTCACCATCGATGGCGACATTCCGAGACGGAAAGCCATCGACCTCCTGCTTTCCGTTCCTAAAGGCACCTTTTTTGACAAGGAAAGCGTACGCGTCCGGAAAGTCAGCGCCCTCCGTGTCATTCCGCGCTATGGGACAATGGCAGAGTCTGCAGGAGACAGCGACCATGGGCAGTACAAGCAGGGTCGAGCGGCCGGCCAGAGCAACTACAGAAAGAACATAAATCGAGACGCTGGCCATTTCTCAGTCGACGGGGAGAAGATGCCTTTTGAACCCTTTCAGATTGAAGTTCACAGGGGATTGGGCACGGTTCTGAGTCGGCGCGTGGGTGTCTACGAAGCGATTGGGCCCAAGGGTTGGGAAGAGATCGACATCGGTGCCCTCTAAAACTGCAAATTAGACATGTGAATCAATGGGACGACAGATATTACGGCACAATACTTTGTTCACCACATCTGTAGCCGAAAATCCCAGGCGTCAATTATGGAGGAGACGAAACCTTTCCGGAGGACATCCGTTGGCTGAATCCGTCCATCCTTTTGAGTCCGTCGTCGCAATATCTGGGCGGCGGCTTTCACTGTCACTGTCGATTTGCGATTTCGTCTCGCTGCGAAGGGGTTTTGGTATAGCAATGGATACAGCATTGGAAAAGAGCAAGCTGGCGCATGGGCGAGGCAACATGGAGCGATCATAAATAAGATACCCACATACGCAACTCTGCCAATTTTATTTCTCCTTAGCTTTGTGACTTTCTTATTCCAATCTCGAAAGGAGTCGTATCGAAATCATTGGCTACGGTGAACTATAATAAATGCAGACTCTTCAGGATGAGATGCAGAATTGGCCCCGTGATTCGGTCAACTCCATAGATACCGCGTATCCTGAGATTTTATCTATACCGATTCTATGGGGACGTTAACCGCTTTCCAAGCTTTCCATGTCAACATAACCAAGGGTGTGTGTGTGAAAAAGCCTATACTCAAACATTTAAGAAGCACAAAGACTCTAAGTGTTTTCATAGTTTGCTCCTCAAATCCTGTCTCTCGTCCTTTCTGAACAGCGTCTTGGAATCTGGGTATGGATCAAACACCACGTTGTTCAGCGGATTCAACTCACTCGCCCGGTGGAACATGTCCTCGTACACATTGCCATCGTATCTTCCGAGGGATGAATCGAGTTGCCAGTCGGAGAACTTCCACGCATCGACCAATCGAACAGCATGGGGGCGGATCTCCTCGAGCAGTTTCATCACCGTCTTTGTGCGTGCCAACGTAATTTGGCGAACCGTCACTGCGGCGGATGAGTAGAATTCTGATGCTTCGCGTTCAAGTGTATGCAGAGCATACAGACGGAACAACTTGTGCAACAACGTCACCGTGTATTCGTCCAATTGTTTCTTGGTGGCCTGATCCTGCAACGCGTCATGGAAGTTCTTGACGATCATATACTGGGCGTGTGCTGTGGACAAACGCCAGAAGTCCACAAGCAAGGAGTTCCAGGATTGCTTGTCCTCATCGCGGTGACGAAGAGCCTCAAAAGTCAAGAAGGAAACACGCCATGCGAATGCTGCGACCAGGTCTTCGTCGTTGCCAATCACATCGAATGCACAGCCAATGTCGCGACGGCGGATGAAATCAGTCAGAATCCGTGTGGTGTCATTCTTTGCCGCCTTACCAGCGAGAACGCTCCGGGCAGATTTCAAGAGGTATCGGGACACTTGCTGCGTGAGCATGTAGTTGTCGCCCTCCCAAGTCACTGTGGGAAGATAGTCCGCGTACCATGCACCGATACCAGCGAAGGACGAGTACCCATGACCGCCGCAGGCGCGACGACAAACTTCCAGGCCCTCCGCCGCGGTGGTGGAACCGTAGGCTTTCAAGGCGCAACTTGTGGAATGTAAGTCGGCCAGAAGATCGGTGCCTGGATTAAGCTCCTCTGGTCCTGGTCCCCGAGTGGAGTCGGATAGCTTGCCAGCATCACCGGCGCTCATGCGTTTCTGGTTTTCCTGATACAATCGGATCATGCTCTTGCCTGTGAAGTGGAGGGCGTAGGTTGCTGCGAGCAACGGTAGCAGTCGAATCTGGACCATGGTGTAGTTGAGAACCTGATTTTCACCGGGTTCGTGGATATCCCGATCTTGGAATTGTCGTCGCACGGCACAGTAACGGGTGGCAATGGTGACGCCACGGGCCAGGGTAGAACCCGCTTGCAGGACGATGGTGCTTCGAACGAAGGTGAGGGTACCGTAGACGAGAGAAGGATTTGAAGGTCGGACGTATTTGTTGGTGTTGGGATCGACCCTCGAGAAGCGAGCCAGCATATTGACGTGTGGAATTTTGACGTTCTTGAATAAGAGGAAACCATTATCCATGGTGTTGTATCCAAACTTTGGGCCAATATCACCGACGTGAACGCCGGGGAGCGGTTGATGAGTTTCCAGATCCCTGACCTGTACCACGAAAGGATGAGGGCCGTATGATTTGCCGTCGATGAACAGTTGTGCCATGACAATGGCATAGTTGGCAGTTCTTCCAAGCGAGCCAATCCACCACTTTGAGGCAGTGAGGTATGGCGAATTGATTGTGAAAGTCTTGTCGTCGGAGTTCCAGGTAGCGGTGGTCTCCAATCCCCTGACATTCGAGCCGTGACCAAGTTCAGTCTGAGCATAGCAGCCAATAATCTTATACGCCTCCGCCTTGTCTAGGAAGAGCTTGTGCTGTTCGGGAGTACCTTGCTCGCGCAGAGTGACAACGAACATGCTCGCATGCAGGCCATAAGGAGTTGGCTCGCTGATTAGATCATTGGCTGTCTGGTATTCATCTCTTGACCATTTGTGTTTGACCTCCAACTGATGCAGTCTCTTCCCTCTGGCCAACGCCGCTTCAATCCGGCTGATTCTCCCTCGAAAGTAGTTTTGTGACTTGTCGAAAACAGGATCGGCTTGAAGGATCCTAAGAATACGTTCATTTCTCTCGAGGTTCTCCCGTGTAAACATGAAATCGGCGAGCTGATCAACATCGAGGCTGGATTTGGCTCTCTCTTGGGAGAGCAGCTCGGAACCTTGAGGACCAGACGGTTTGAGGGCCTTGACCCATTCTGGATTCGTAGGCATCTCGAGGGAGTTTCGGAGGCACCGGAAAGCGATTAGAAACAAAGATAGGGACAGGAAGAAGCCAGTCTGCTTGAATCAAGGGCTTCAAGGGAAGGGGAAGATTGGTATTTAAGCTGCTCACTGCCCTTGAAGCAAGCAGGTGTCATGATCGGGCCAAAATTATCATCGCCAGGTTTGGAAGGTCAAGCCTTGTCCAGATGCCTCGGTTCAAATCGTCGATTCACCCTCTTCAGCTTCTTTGAGGGATTAGTGAGCCCCCCGCCCCACGTATTTTAACGAACTTCGTGCGTAACTCAAGCCTGCGGCAGATGCTTCGGTTACCCAGCTCCATTCCCATTGAGCGCGATGGAAATTGCCAAGAGCCTGTCCATACAAGTACCTTGATGTTGATGGGTATATCGAGCTGCGTTCGCCACCTCCACGCTCGGGCACACTCGGAGTATAAGATGGTGAGGAAACCCATTCACTACAAAGCTGGGCGTCTGAATCGACTGGAATTTTGCCTCGGTCGACGAGACTGACCACGACGCGAGCGTTCATTGCCTTTCGGGATTGACCACTGATTGTCGGTCGGTGTCAGAAGGCCTGGCTCGTACCATTTGGTTCCACCGAACAACCTCCTTTCTCAGGAGACTCAGTAGATGAGGATCAAGATTGCGTTCTGTTACTTTCGTCTATTTCACTACATGAGCACGGTTACCGCGGTGACTCTCGAAAGTACGGCATAAACTCGGATGGTAGCATCATTCAGTAGCTGAAATAGAGCACTCAGTCCGTGGGACGTGGGAGAAGTGTTCTCAGGGGTCGCAGAGATAGCACCAAAGAGGCTGCGGATCAGCGACAATCCCTTCAGAGATTTTCGCAAGTTTCACTATCTAACTTGCCCATGTCCAGTTTATTTCTTCTCGTCGATTGTATGCGGTAGAGGCTCACTGATCGAGACCTCCTCGACATCCTTTTGCGCCACCACAAAACCCTCGGGTAACGAGTTGAGTTCATCCTCCTGCTGGTCAAGCGACCAGAATTGCCAGATGAACAAGCAGCCACCAACAAAGGCAACCACAGCAAACACACCGTAGTTCCAGACCAGCAACGGATCACCCGAAAGACGATTCAAAGCCTCGGCGATAGCAGCCGAGATGGCGTTTGTGAAGAGAGCGATAGCCTGAACTAGAGAGCGCATATTCTTGGGCGCTTTGGAATATGCATACTCCAGGGATGTGATCGACGCGAAGATCTCGGAGAGGGCAATGAGAACATAGCAACCCGTTTGAATCCAGACGTTGAGAGGCGCCGGGTTGACAGAGCCATCGTCATTGAAGCAGCTGTTGGCCTGGTACCCGCATGGTGATTTCTTATAGATGTAAAACTGAACAACTGCAGCCCATATCATGGCTGCCGCCGCAAGCCAAAAGCCCGCAGTAATTTTTTTCAGTGCAGTGAAGTTGAAGCCCAATTTTCGCAGACCAGGGTAGAGGAACGAGTCGCAGAGGGGGATGAAGATAATCAGGGCGAAAGGGTCGAGGTTGTTGACAACACTACAAGAAACTCCAGTCAGCATGTGTGCAGATGCACCACATAACAGGGCAGAAGATGAACTTACTCGTTGGGCACACCGTTCAGCTTCATTGTGCCTGCTTGAGCAGTAAAGTTGTTGGTCAATTGACCGTATGCAAGCCAGTAAAGCGGGTAGTAACAGAAGACCGCGCAGGCAGCAAAGCCACGGCGGACTTCGTCCACCCAAGCATCATCAAACGTCATCCACACGGGCCGTTGGGAGGGCTGAATATTGGAAGGCTTCACTGCTTCCCAAATCGAACCGTTGCTGGTATGCTTCCACATGGTGACTGGGTTGAAAGACCAGCGACCCTTCATTCCGTAGACGAGGCAGCGGGCGGCCTTGGTTACGACGGATCCAGCTGGTGGTCTTTGCTGATAGCGGTTGCGTCCCCACCACATGACAAAAGGAGTCGTTAGGAAGGCTAGGAGAGGGAGCAGGAACGAAAGCCAGAACCCCACATATTTCTCGGCGTAGACCTAGGCATAATGGTGAGCTTTGGATGGCAAGCACAGTTCTCAGAGGGGAACATACCATGCCAATTTGGCCAACAAGTGCGCCAATGTTGATGAAGAGGTAGAAGTAATGATATATCCTGCTCTGCGTGATGATGGGATCTACAATCACGCGTTCTCCGGAGGACAACGTCTTGACAAAGACTCTGGTCACATCGATTTGTTCGACGATCAAAGGCGAGATATTGGGTTTGAAACTACCAGTCCCAAATCCCATGATGATCAGACCGAGCATAAAAACGGCATAGCAAGCGGTGGTGTTGGTGATGACTGGTGGGATAGCAGAAATAACGAGGACGATGTGACCGATGATAGCAATAGCAATAGACACGCAGATGGTCTTGTATCTTCCCCAGTGTTCATCGGCCACTGTCTCGAGTTAGCCTCGCCCTGAAATCTTGAGTGGCCGGGGCATGAAAAGCCTATGGTGACACCAGCGAAAGGGGACTTACTGTAGGCACCAAGAAGGGGCACACAATACACCCAGAAGGTGTTGAAGGTATTGATGCCATTGGCGGTCCGAGGACCTTGACCCAGAGCACCAGAGATACCCTGGTCGGAGCCACCACCAGCCCCAGGTACCATTCGGCGCGGAGAGTGGAAGAGAGTGGTTCACAAAGTTGGAGTCTGGAATGGATGTTTAGTGGCCTGTAAAAACAGCAGATATTTCATTTTTGAGGCATACAAACAATCTGGGTTCCGTAGTAGGAGAAACGCTCGCAAAGCTCCACAAAGGCGACCGTGTACACTGACCATGGAATGGGCGCGGCAACTCGGCGAAGAGCATTGGGTCCATGAAGCTCCTCTTGTGTAGGAGCATTGTCATATTCTGAGTGGCGGCGAACGAACTGCACAACTTCATTCTTGGTGGTGGTGCCTTGACGGCCATTGTCGGCCTCCAGGTGTTGCAGACCACCGGCCCTGGCAGTCTCAGCGTTGTCAACAGGCATGGTGAGGGACCAGTGGAGAGAAATGTGAGTATGAGGAGTGGTGTATCTCTGACCGAGTCCGTGGGCGTCTGAAGGTCTTTATAGGTACAGCGGTATGACGAGGTGCCATTTCACAGGCTGGTAGGGGCGAAGGACGAGATGGCGAAAGAAGGACGAGGATGGTAGCATCCGTTCAGCGAATGTACTTATCGGCGGCAACATGATGGGCATTTCTGGACAATACTATTCCCCAGCGATATGTGGCAGCTATTTGTCGGATATTTGGATGAGCTCGTCTCAGGTTACACTCTTCCCTTCTCTTTGATGTCGGGACGGCACCTACAAACGAGGGGTTTGTATCCACGATTTGAGAGTTCAGCCGTGGCAACGGCGGGCCATGAGCGAAATAGGGAGTTAAGCTTCCTTGGCAACTGTCGACTGTACTAGACCTGTTAGGGGTGAAGCACCCGACTCAGGCAAACAGGCTCGATCTCTAATCTGATTGACCAGACAACCTGCGGCAGAACAAAATTCCTTCCAAGCTCTCTTGTCGACTTTATTCGCCGGCCACGTCCGATGGCTACCTCTTTGGCACCGACATTTTGTTGTGACAAGTCAACAAGTTGCCCCTTTCTTCCGTGCGAGAATGGCCAGCTCGCTCTATCTCTTGGCGAGGCCAGGGGGTTCGAAATCCTCGTTGACATATAGTCCTCTTGATCCGAGTCAAAGCCGTTCTCATCCTCCATCTTTCACTTTCCTGTAACCTTTTCTTGCACGGCAGCCGCACTCGCAACTCTGCATGTCAGCCATACCTCGTATCAGTACCTGGAAAATTTTCGAGGGCAACACCAGGGTTCTGAGGCTAGAGCGGTAGAACGAGGGATTTATCTCCCGCCGACGTGGACTTCACAACATACTTAGCCACCCAAGGTTGCTCCTCTACGTTTGTGGCAGAAGTTGCGTTAGCTGCCAAAAGGTGCGATCACTTGTCGCGAGCGCGTCAAATCGCGATTGACAATGCTAGTGCCGGTGAGGACGGGTGATCTAGAAGGCTTAAGAGGAAGAGCAAGGTCCTCGCTGTATGTCTCAATAAGACCTCAGGTGGACAAACTGGCAACGAACCTGAAATACTGGAGTTTCCAGTCAAATTCCTGCTGGCAATGGATATGCCACAAATTTCCCATCAGGCTCCATTTTGTGGCGGAGCTCTTTGAGCACTGAACAGTGTAGTCCTGCTCTTTGCGTTAGATGGATCGCGAGTCGAGAACAAATTGCTCGGCCTTAAGTCTGCCTTTCCACTTTGAAAGACTGCTGACTCTTAGCCGAGGCAACGCAAAAGGGAAAGAAGTTGCACGATCATTGACTACAACGCATTCTCCCTGATTCTTATGTTGGAGATCTAGTTGCTTTTCCATTCAATGCTGAGATTTCTCGTAGCTTTGAGTCTGGCTGCCATTCTTCACAATGAAGGAAGACCAGTTGGATGTGCCGGAGGAGCCTAGCTGAGCCTCCTGTTCGTCTCTCGTTTTCCAAAATAAGGAGACAAACTCATGGACCCTGGTCTGAAGCCTCGACCAAGCCCGAAGCTCTTTCCCTCCAGCATCCGTTTCAAGTTGCGGGAGTTCGCGATGTCAGGCCAAAATATGATGCACGTGAGAAGGAGCAGCTGGATATTTTGGAGGATGGTACAGCATACCTGAAAGATCTTCGATGCCCGTGTTGAGCCTGGTCCACAGCCTCCCCCAAACGATCCTGTGCGCAAGAACCCCCCTGGCACCGTCATAGTGAGATGGAGCTGGCCAGAGCCGGTAACATAGAGGTGACATGATTCCTAACACCTCGCCTGAGGACGGACCACAAAGTATCTACTGTCCGTTTTTGTTTCGCCCTCTACATGGCGCTGGCTTGGACAACCACAGACAGTCCATCGGGAAGACTTGTCTCTGCAAAACGATCTCTTGTGTATATCAATCAGGGTTACCTTGGTTCACTGTTATAAACACCGGGGGCTGAGGGATTAAGAGCCAAGCAATGCATTCTGATAAACTAACTAATTCAGCAATTTTCAAATACTTAACGAGAGTTTGTATTTCAGCTTCCTTCTCCCATGACCATTGCTATATCACAGCAATGATGATCTCGAGTTGAAAAGTCCCCTGATTTTCGTTGTCCCTTTACATCGCCAGATTTTGATGCTCGCCAATTGTTCTTCCAGAGAAACAAAAGGCTGGGTTTACGTCTATCACCACAGATTCCTTTGTTGAGGCCTTCTGATATTTTGTGCCTGATATCGTTGCACCCCGTGCTTAATTCGCGAGAAGCGGGAGAGCGATGGGACCAGCACCAGCGGTAGCTCCCCGAAGAGTAGCAGTGGCATCTTGGGATTCGTCACTTGCCGCATTCCAGTAGATCGAGTAGAAACCCGCGCTGTTCGAGTCATCGTCGGTGAGGATGAGACCTCTCTTGGCGACTTTGTTAGCCGATACCTCGCCGTCAGCTAGAAAGACCTTGTTGGCTGAGACCGGGCCATCGGCCGGGTCGCTGGCGAGTATGAGACGTCTTTTGAGGACCTTATTAGCCGAAGCCTGGCCCTCAGCTAGAAAAGCCTTGTTGACAGATGACTCGCCATCGGCAAGGAATATCCTGTTCGCCAATGCCTCGCCGTCGGCTTGAGAGATCTTATTAACCGATGCCTCGCCATCGGCAGGGTTGCTGGCAATGATGAGACCCCTCTTGAAGACCTTGTTGGCAGTGATGAGGTCGCTGTCATTCTCATCCGCAGACTGAACATACGCAAACGCGAAGACAGACGGGGAGAGAGCATCAGCTGGATCATTTGCAAGCCGAAGGTCACGTTTGAAGACCTTATTGGCCGTGGATTCGCCGTCAGCTAGAAAGATCTTGTTGGCAGTGATGAGGTCGCTGCTATTCTCCTCGGCAGGCTGTAAGTATGCGAACGCGAAGACGGATGGCGACAGAGCATCCTCTTGTGACTCGCGTCTGAAGACTTTGTTGGCTGCCAGTTCTCCATCGGCTGCTCCATTGGGAGTACCAAGCGGAAGGGCGATAGGAGTACCGACTGGAGTCCCGGCAAGTCTTTTGGCAGTTGGAGTACCAACTGGAGTTACAGCAGGTGTTTTGGCAATTGGAGTACCAACTGGAGTTCCAGCAAGTCGTATGGCAATGGGAGTTCCAGCATTGGAGAGCTCTTGGTTCTGAGCCTCGCGAGCGAGCTCCGCGGGAGCAAGAGGAGCAGCGAGTGTTTGAGAAAAAAGAACGCCGGCAAGGGCTGAGAGAATGACTCCGGTCTTCATTGTGGAAAAGTGTTTGTTTGTTTTGTTGTAAGAGGTTGCCTCTGGTTGGAACGTGAATAATGAATGTTTTGGTGCCTTTGCTTGTTGGTGCGTATGAGAAGTAATTGTTGAGAGAGAGGAAGGATGTCTCTACTTATAGCCTTTCATCTCCCTCTCCAGACGACTTGCTTTCGATATACACTGCTTTGATTTTCCATTCAAGTTGGAACTGCCAAGTAGGTTTTGTGGTATCAAGAAGGACGTTTGCCCAGCAATTGCAGAGGTCGCATGAGGAGTGGAATCCATGATGGCGAGACCTCTCAACTACCATGAGGTACCTGCAAAGTTTGCGAAGATTGAATTGCACGATCAACGCGAGAGTGAACGTTTCGTTGTAGCGGGCTGAGTGGAGGAATACCAGCCTCGTTCGCTTCCGTCGCAACCAATCGCAAAGATGCCAATATGCCAAGATCTTTGTGATGCCAAGAGAGCCAAGGTGCCAAGCCCATGCGAGGCCTGGGGTTGCACCAGCCATGACGATATCATCGCAGAATGCTCAGCTGACAATTTACCCTATTATCCGATAGTCACATCGCATTCCTTGTCCCTCCTCCCAAGGATTCCAGAACATTTCTCTGCGTCTTCGAATGCTTGTTCGGCCACTCTTTGTCGAAATATTACTGACAAGTCCGCGGCATATTCCAACGAGAGACACAGTGATGCGACAATGTGGCACAGTCATGCGAATTCCAGGCGTCGGGAGCTGAGAGGAGCTCTCTATGTGCATGTCCATTGTCACCGACAAGAGGTGTGAAGAGTATAAACTAGATTTTGCGTCGCGAGCAGTGGGACGTATGTGCATCAAGATTCTGGACCTTTTTCGACTCCTGCCCACGACCAAACCATGAAGCCAGTTGAGCTTTCCTTAGAGATACCTTTTCATTCGGACAATCAATCCACTCCATTCCTCTACACGACACAAAATGTCAAGAAACAAACGAATAGACAGGTCTGCATATCGATAATAATCTGCGCCTATGTCCTCGTGGGTTTCGCTGCTCTTTTGACCTATACATATGGCCTTATATCTTTCTTGGGGAGCGACCAACACTGTAGCAGACAGCTGTCTACATACTGTAAGGACATCTAATGGGACCTATTCGACCAGTCTGCTAAGAAGTCTAGCTCCGGCGCTCTTCTCTGTGGGCACCTATCAGGAGGTCATGTTCCACGGCGAGCTGTTTAACGACAATGGTGGATTTCGTGGTCCCCCAAGCCCTGAGCGTGATGCCGCGTGGGACAGAATCACTCCAGGTATGCTTACTATCTCCACCAACCCAGAGACGTTGACGTGCACTTACATTAAGTCCAAATAGAGGACCCATTTCCCATTTCAGCCTCTGAAGTTGTCAAGGTTGGGAAATCCTTGGAGTCTTCAATCAGATACCCCGACGACAAAGGCGGCCAGTATGCTGCCAATCTAGAGGTTTTCCACCAGTTACACTGCCTGGTGAGCTTTCTCATCATTGGCTGTCGAAGAGTGTTTATGTAACCAATGTACCAGAATCTTCTGCGGAAAGCGACTCATTTCGAATATTACGCCGACAAAGAGATTATGTTCAAGACAACACCTCATATGATCCAGGAGCACCTTGGTAAGTCGAGCCGTTCTCGCCAAAGAGCGACACTAAGTACGCATGCAGATCATTGTATCGACATGCTCCGCATCAGTCTGCAATGCACGAGTGATCTCACACTCATAACCTTCAACGCGTCAACGCCTGAATTTCCCATGGCAGAGTATATACCTGACTTCTACACGAACCACAGATGCAGAAACTTCGAACAAACTTTGGATTGGTACAATGATCGCCGGATACCTCTGCATTTGCCGAGCACCCATGACATGTCAGATGAACGGCCTTGACCACATTCCTCGGCTGCATTCACTGGATATGTGTTGAAACTGCTCGCAATAGTTGGGTACATGCTCCACATCGGCTACAGCTCGAATGGAAACACTCCGTTTCATATGGTCCGCAACTATTTGTTCCAGCAATGTGTTCTAGAGCACGCTCCACCGTCCCTCGTTTGCAACTACGTTAGATATCACGCCATTCGGTATTAACGTGTGGCCTTCTTCGCTTAAATAGAGGCCAAGGTAACGAGAGAGGCGGTGGCAAGGAGTGAAACTTCGACATAGCCAGAACAAAGTTTTCTCTTGTTATTGCGATTACAACGCTTGTAGGTTACATTAGGCGGATCAGCCAAAGCAGGACTGTAGGGTATTGCGAGGGCTGGAACACTAAGGGAACAGTCAAACACCTCTGGGAGAGCGGTCCACACACATACTCTTTAGTGTGGTGCGTTGCAGTGGGGAGACCGCATGGGCTCCGTGGTGGTTGAGTGCGCACAGAACGTTCTTACTGGGATCAATTGAGGAACTACTTTCTTCACCATCTTGTGCACGCAGATAAAGAATGAGTACTGAAAAGCTTGGAGGTAGCACGAATAATCGCCGCGCCTTGTATCCCACCATCAAAGCACTAGCTTCAAGGAATTCGATAAGGCCTTAATAACCCAATTTCACCACCAGAACCACTTCGGTCAAAACAATACGCCCCTGTACGAACCCCGAAATACAAATCTTTATCGCATTCCCGTGGAGAATTATGACAATGACAGGCCTCTGTGCATCGTGAGGGAAATATTGTCAGTTTCAGACGAATCCACCTTGAACGATACACACTGCCCAAACCGCCTCTTTCGTGCTTCCATAAACACCTCCACCGAAGCTGTCATGTCAGAAGCTCCTCCATTTGTCTTTTCGAAACGCTCCAGGCTTCTTTGGTGCTGGCTGAGCGTTAAGCGCAGATTACCTCGCAGGCAAAGGAAATGAGAGTTGGTCAGTGCAGGTCGCGGTAATCTTTGGCCGCTACAGCTGAGTCGCTTCCGCTTCTTGAATCAGCTTTTTCAAGGCGTCGGCACTCTTGACTAGAAGCATCCTCTCCTCTTGATTCAGGGGGATGCTGAGGGATCTGACTATTCCCCGTCGTCCTAGGACGACCGGTAAACTCAAGCAGCATCCTAGCTGGTCAACCCAGTGAGAAATGGGACGAACATTTCGTTGATCAAATAGAATCGATTTGCAGATAGCCGCGCTCAGAGCGCCGATGCCGTAAGCTGTCGCCCCTTTGGCTTCAATGATCTTTGCTGCCTTGTCTTTTGTCTCCAACGCAACGGCCTTGCGGTCAATGAACGCTCCTGGTGGCAGACAATGATCCAGCGGCACGGCACCGATGGTGACGCAAGACCAAGCAACCTGTAGCTTCTGATCAGCTCAACAACACCGAGGTGGTCTTTGGTCCGTGACGTCATACCATCTGTGATTCTCCATGTTCACCAAGGACATAGGCATCGACGCTGCCTGCGTCGACTCCCAGCTTTGCAGCCAGGATGCCTCTCAGTCTTGCAGTGTCGAGGAAAGTCCCGCTGCCGATGATCTGACCTTGAGGTAGCCCGGAGAACTTCTGGCAGAAGTAGGTTAGTATGTCCACAGGATTTGCCACGAGAAGAATGACTGTGTCCTCGCGGAATGGTTTCATATCATCTGTAGCAGACTTCAGAATTGCCAGGTTACGACCCAGTAAATCGGTCCGTGATTCGCCTAGAAGAGGTTATGATCAGTGGACATTAGCATGGAATTCAGCAAATGGCGTCGCTACCTTGTCTCTGTTTTGCACCCGCGCTGATGACCACGATATCGCATTGTCCAGCCTCCCTGTGTGTTGCAGACCGTATTCTGACTCCGCCGCCACTGTCGATTGATTAGTTAGTCGAGCGTCGGGCCACGCATCAATTTAACGAACCCAACAGCGCCATGATAAGTGGTGGTATCTTCGAGGTCTCTGACTTGCGCATCTCGTTGTTTGGTATTCGGGTCAACCAGAAGAATCTCGCTTGCAACTGGGTTCAAGATAAGGCAGAGTGCTATTGCTGAGCCTACGCTTCCAGCACCGAGGATAGCAATGCGCGATCTGCCAGTGACCACCTCGGGATCCATTGGTGTAGGCTCCATTCCGGTGAATTTGATCAGATTCACAACGGGTTTAACCGAATGTATTGTTGAATCTAAAAGTTGGCAGACAAGGTTGGAAGTGGCAGATGACGAGGCTGGGAGAAGAAAAAGGGCTCAAGGCTCCGACGCGGTCCCACAGTACAAAATTTAAGAAGATGAAGGTATATCGTTTGGAAAGTGGGATGATTTCGTAGCTATCGTCGATTTGTCCTCCCATTACAGGGTTTACAAGGAGGGGTAAAGACTTGGTACGATGGAGTGCCTCTATGAGACTGCGTGATTCCTGTTGCCCCGCTCATTGGCTCTTAAACATGGCGAGTTGCAGGTAGACCTCTTTCATGCCAGAAATAATCGAAACCTTGAATGCACACACAAGTGCAAAATCTAAACTTCGAAGGGCGCTTTGAAGTGCAAAGTCTCACGTGTAAACTGATTTTCCTAATGACGGGGGAGTAGGCGGTGATTGCGTAAATTCCGACGAGGAAGACCTCGACAGACAGCCCATTTGACTTGACGTCAGCGTAAGGATGCAGCCTCTTCACATTATCGCAGACTACCTTGGAATTCAAAGCGGGGTGTAGTAGAAGACCTTCTGACCCTTGTCAGATTATGAAGACAGGCATGACTTCTGGTAGAATCTCAGTCCACCTTCTCTCCGATTGGACCTTCCAGAACTCCTGCAACGCTGCAAGTGCAGTCGGGATGTTATGGAATCGGGTGCGCGAGAAGACCTCTTGCAGTCGCATAGTGAAGAAGTCGCGATGTTCCAGTGTCGAACTCTCCGCTGCGGCGATAAAGTAGACCCAGACAAGCGTATGATGTCCTGGTGTAGTGGGTTGAATCCGTTCACACAGACCTTTCAGGCGAGCGAGATCTGCAACAGTCTCACTGTGAGGTGGACCGCTTGTGACACGCTTCAAGTATATGTTGCAGGCCATATGTATGGCAGACTTATATAACCCGATCTGGGGTGCAAGCATAGGGTGAAAAATGGCTGCGTTGGAGATGAACTCAAAGTACGCTGCTGGTCGGGCGCTCAGGGTCAGAGTCCCAGAGCTCTCTCCTAAGAGCGGCTGGGCAAAGAGAGTCATCATACGAGTCTGCTCCATCAGGAATGAGTGCATTACGCTGTTTCGGCCATCCCTTGTGTTCGCAGCGGCGAGGTGCTGAAGGATCTTGAACAAGTAGGGTAAGTTGGTACCGCCGGTGATGGTCTCGCCGGTTAACAGGATAATTATCGTGGTCCAAGCGGAAATGTCGAGGAGATCGGCTTGAGTGGATGTGCGTATGCGCAGCTCAGAGATGATCGACTGAAAGCCTGCTTCAGCACGAGACTGCAATCCCGGCTGTTGATAAGCGAGGTGCTGCATCGCGACGACGCATACTGCAGACCTGACAAGATGATCTTCAAAGGCAAGTGGCAGTATAAGATCACGATAGCCGTTGAATTTGCCGTCCAAGACCACCATCACCGGTGCAATTGTTGATGAAAAATGTGCGAATAATTCTCGATACTGCGGACCGACAAGCTGGAGGGGTGGTGAAACCTGATTGGGGCAGACTCCGTGCTGATGTGTCGAGTTGCATAAAAGGCAGACTATGGGTTCGAGCAATAACTCTGACGAGGCCGCAGTAAATGCTCTCATGAAAGATAGATGCTGCTCGCTGTCTGCAATGTCTGCAATGTCAGCGGACAAAGTTGGCAAGTTATGATCGCCTTCTGAAAGCAGTTCTGTGTCCTCATAACCACGGGATTCTATCACCGGGTCGGCTTGGGTGAGTGTCGAAGTCGTGGTGCCATCTGGCCACAATAGGACCGGCGTGGTCCTGTGCTCCAGCGGCCCTTGAGTACTTGCGGCCTGGTCGATTGGAATTGTGCGGCCCGTAAATCTGCCGCGTGAAGCTATACCATCATTGAACCTGTATCGGATCCCGTACCCGGGGCAGTCAAGACCCTTCCGCAAGCACTTGTTGCATTTTGGACGGGACTGGTCGCACTTGATGCGTCGCCGCGAGCAATTGTGGCAACCTATACGGTCGTTCAGCACGGATGTCGGGCTCGGAAGCACACGACGAACTCACCTATAAGCTCCTTCGGCATTTTATCTGTGGGCATCGAGGAACACTGCCATGCTTTGACATGGAGCCATGGTGAGCAGGACTCTGTGTAGCGAGATTGGTGGATGATTAGGCGAACACGAGGAGAACATTTGATGGCGAGGAATTCGGATGTGCTGGAGGTTGCAATGGAGTGAGTCTCTTGCGAATTCCTTCATCCGAGAACTCGTTGCACTGCGCCACTACGCCACAATCACGTGCGGCCCGAGGATCAGCCACTTTTATGCACAGCCTCAATTTCTGTCACATTATCGTGACGGAAAAGAGCTCGATATTTTAGGGTACCTTAACACCTACATGTCATGCCATATACGGTACTGTATGCTTGTGCTTCGGCGATGAAAACTCTCATACTGCCCTCTTATCCTCCGCTACAAATGGCTTGTTCTCGAAACTGGCTGCAGCTCCTGTCGAACTGTCAATGCCGCTTCAGTTCCCGATTGAATGGCGCCATCGATAAAACTCCTCCATCCTCCCGCAGCCCAATCCGAGTTAGCAAACAGCACGGATCCCTGCCTCCTCCTGAGAGCCTCAAGGTACTGCACCTCCATACCTGGCCTATACCACACCCTGAACACTGTTAGCAGTGATGGTCTGGGTCACGTCAAGGGGATTCTCCTTACCATGCTCCCTTGGCGAATTCATCCTTAGACCAGTTGTGGAATACCTATGTGGAACTGGTCAGCTTCACTTCCCCTGGGACCTGAGTTGATTTCACACTCACAACACGG